CCCCCCCCCTTTGCCTAGGCAGTTTACGGCTTAGCTGGTACGGACCCGTTTCAATTAAGGTTTTCATTTTGTCATGGTAGGTATTTGTGTCTTGGACCACACTAGCGCGGCCTTTGTCCGCTGGCAGAACAGTGATAGTGTCGTCTTGTTTTAGATTTATAAGGGCTTCTTGCATATCCTTCGTGATGTTAGGCTTGGGTGGTTTGGCCTGTTGAAGGATAACGTTTACAGTTCGTCTTACAGTGTCTGCTTGCTCTGAGTCAAGCGTTCTCATTGTGGACTCGACTTTGGCGACTATTTCCGTGACTGGGATGTTAGATGGAATTAGTGCGAAATTCAAGCCTTTCTTTAGTAACGATACCTCAGTATCGCTGAGAGGGCGTGAAGATAAATTAATCACCCATTTGTTTTTATCGACTTGAGGTGTTTGGTCAATATAAGAAACAGCGGAAGCTTGTTTCGCTCGGGCAAGTTTCAGAAACTTGCGCTGTTGTCGATCTTTAGTGGTGTTAAATATTCTTTGGGTATTAACTCTGATCTTTTCAAGTATTTCAATGGCCTTATCTGCCGAAAGAGTGGCTGTTATGCTTCTCGTAATAAACTCAGTCTCTCTTTTCGCGTCTCCTTTAGCACTCTGAGTAAGTCGTATTCGTTCTCTAAGGAAGCTTTTGGAGGCTAGTTCGGCTACTCAACCCAACCGAATTACTCAGAGAGCTAAGTGAGACGCGACATAAACTGTTCGTTTGAACGCACGCATGGCAGAATTGGACGTTTGCCATGTTGGACCAGGCGAAAATTGGATACCGAATATGGGATCCCGAAAATTAACGACAAACAAAAACAAAAGTAAGTTAGAACTGTTCAGATTTAATCCCTCAAGATAATAATATGTACAAGCAAATAAACAGCAACACTTCATGCAGTGAAGTCGCAAATAAGTCGGAAGTTGATGACAGTATTTCTACATTCGTGGAAGTTACTTGTTAATTAGATGTCTAGCAAAAATCTCGGCCACGAAATGACATAAATTACTTCAAGCAATCAATCAATGTATTTAACGTGGTCGGTATGCTTAGCTAAAAAACTAGTTTACAGGTACGCCATACAACGATTAATTTGCTATCGTGGCGTTAAAAAAGCGATAAATTACATCAGGTCGTCCTCTGCCGTGTGTGGAGATGATACCATCTAAGCTGCCTCTTGATCTGAACTCGAGAATAACAAAGGGAGATCT